GATGAAATAAAGGATGCAAGTAAAGAGGTTAATGAAGAGAATACACTCTTGGTATTGATTACCTAAGGTGAATGTAACAACAACAGGCTACGGGGCAACAACAATAGTAGTTTTGGGAACGCTGTAGAAACGTATGCAGAAGAAAATATTATGGTGACCGTGAGAGAAGGAGTCTAGTGAAGCGAGGAATGGTATTTGGATTTAGGTTTTTCTATGTATATGTCAGGGAGAAAGGATTGCTTTGTCAAAATTAATTAAGCCACGAAGAACAAAGTGAAATTCGCAGATGACACCACTTTAGAGGTCGATGGGATCAGTGATGTCTTGATCGTGAAAAGGGATGATGTATATTCCTTGATCAAAGATGTATTGTATATTCCATGAATCAAATGTAACCTTCTAAGTATTGGGCAATTTATTGAGAAAGGTTACAAGATTCACATGGAAGACAAGACATTGTGCGTTAAGGATGCAAACATGTTTTTGGTCCTTAAAGCTCATATGACTGCCAATAGAACTTTCAAGATTGAGTTAAAGGTTATGTAGCATAGGTTTCTTGCTATAGCGGCAATTCAAGAAGAGTGGATGTGGCATTATTGTTATGGACATCTTAATCTTCGAGACCTCAATGCATCGTAAAAGAACGAAATGGTAATCAAGTTGCCACTCATCAACATACCAACTGAGATTTATGAAGATTGTGTGTAAGAGAAGCAACACAAAGGTAAACTTAGCGAGGATGTAGGTTATAGAACCAAATATCACATTGAGATGATGTATCTGATGTGTATGAATCGATGCAAGTTGATTCGTTTGCTTAGTTTCCCATTACTTATCAAGGGTTTCAGTAATTCAGACTGGGGAGAATGCCCCCCTCATAAGATGATCAACAACTAGATTCACTTTTTTCCTTAGAGAGAACCTGGTGTGCTGGAAATAAAAGAAACAATTTGTTATTACCCGTTCATTTTCTGAAGTAGAGTATCGCACCTTGGCCAACACTTCTTGTGAAACCCAATGGTTCCTCTACCTTCTGCACGACTTCAATACCTCACATACTCAACCCGTCAACGTCTACTGCAACAACCAAAACGCCATCCATATAGCTACAAATCTAGTATTCCACGAGCACACAAAGCATATCGAAATGGACTGCCACCTTAGTCGCAACAAGATTCAATAAAAAACTATCCATCTAATGCCTATCAATTCCGACAACCAAATTTCCGACCTGTTCACTAAACTGCTTCACTTAGGACCCTTTCGTAACCTATTTTCAAAACTTGGAATGATCAACATAGATTATAGTTTTAGCGGGGTGTTAAATCTTAGGTAATTTCTTAACGCACCCTTATAATGAGTGATTTCAAAGATGCATATCTGAATTATGTTAAACTTTGTGAAAAAAGGTTGTTTCGGATATGTATTTTTGAAATCAGAAGGTATTTTAGACATTTCGTATAGGTGCGTTAAAAATGTGCAAGAGTGGTTTAAGAAATTCTCTAAATCTTAATGTATTTTAACTTTAGCCCAATAGCTTCTTAGACCCATTTTGCTTATTCGCTTCACCTTTGGCTCATTGTACTTGATGCAAACCTATATATCTCACCTTTGTAACCCTTCCAAATTAATGAATATATTATTCAGATTTTACATTCAATATTCTCTTTCATGCATCTGATGATAAATGTCAATAATAAGTGATTCGGTTGTATAGTTAGCGATAAATATATAAATTATATTATATTAAAATAACTATTAAAATGAAAATTTGATTAATATAAATGTATTATGATATAATAATAATTTTTTAAAGAAATTAATTGATTCAAAATATTAAAAGATACTAAATTAAATAATTAGACTCAAGTGGTTAATGAATTCCTCCTAAAGAATAAATTGTTTGGAAAAATTCGAATTTGACTCATAATAGAAACAAGCTTGGATAGATCATACTTACCTTTCGATCGAATTCTGAATTATTAGGGACTAATTCCCTGAAGAACTAGAGAGTGAAAAAAAAAGACACACCTAAAGATAATGATTTATCTTTGAATCATTTTGTTTTATATTCCAATATCTAATATTTCAAAAAACAAATTTTTAAGTAATTTAAATTTGTGACATTCTACTTATTTAGGGTGTGTTTGTTTCATGGTTGAAAATTTTATTTCTTGAAATGATATTTCTAGGATTATTATTCTTGAGAATATTATTCTAATTAATGTGTTTGGTAAGAATTTAGGTTCTAAAGAATAATTATAAAATTTATTTAATTTTAAATTATAAAAAAATAAAAAATAATAGTAAATAGGAATGATAGTGGGAAGTTAGAGTTAGTTAAATTTATTCCCATGAAAATATTGTATTCTCACTCTTTATACCTTGAAATAAGAATAGAGAATCCATAAATAAATAATATTTCTTAAAATAAAAAAAAAATTAGAATAATTTTTTAAAACTTGAATCAAACATGGAAATATTACATTTTCATTGTCATATTCTCAGAAATAATTTTTGTAATCTTCAAACAAACATATCCTTATCCTTAATTTTAAAGAGAAAATTTCTGCCATTAAAATTCTTGGGAAAAAAATATACATTGGTATCATCCAAGATTACCAATTATTTTAAGTTAATATTTTTTATATTATTATGGGAAACCACTCCAAAGGTCACTTTATTTAAAAAAAAATTAATTGAGATTATCTTCTCCCTTAAATTAGTCGCCACCATTTCTCCTCTCTAAAAGTAAACCCATTTTTTTAATCCCTAAAAATGCTTGTCAACCTCTTTGATATTTTCTATGCAGTTTTCTTCCTTGCATCTTCTCTCTAAACTTGTACTTTTCTTCTAGAGTATTTCTCTATACAGTGAAAGAATACATTTTTGTGCCTCTAAATGTGACTATCAATTGCAGAGTGATGATAAAGAAGAGGATTTACGACAATGGCAGCAAAATAATAGCTCTTATGTATCTGGATGTATTGTTCCATTTCTCCATTTTTTTAGATTTATTATTGTTAATATTTTTTGAGATATTTAAAAACTTATATGGATGAAGTAAAAGTGTTTGTGGTACGGTTTGAGCAATTTTAATGTTAGAAATTATTTAAATTGAAAAAGAAAAAAAATGTGATTATGTTTGATTCGATTAATTTTTAGAAATAAAAGTGAAACAAATTAAATTAAATCAATGCAATTTAGATTGGTTAGATTTTTTATAACATTATAATTTTGTGTTTAATTATCATTTATTACCAACTAACAACAAAATTCATCATATTTGAACAACAATTTCTTATATAATATACAAAATTAAATTAGACAAAAGTAAAATAAAAAATAAAAAATAATAATATAATATAATCAAAAAATTATAACGAAAAAAATAAAATAAATGAGAGGCGGGATCAGTGAAGATGAATAAGAAAAAAACAAAAGATAGAAGAGAATAGAGAAGAAAGAAGAGTTGCGATTAAAAATGAAAGACAAAAATATATGAGAGATCCTTTAAGTTATTTATTTGTAACATGTTAGTCTTTTAAGTTTTTTTTGCAACAACTTGATCCTTTAAGTTATCAAATGTGTGCATTGTTACCTTTTTTTTAATTAAAAAAATGTGTTAATTGTGGATGTAATTGTTTTGAGTGATATGAAAATGATGAAGTGTAATCAGAAACACAACAATTAACATTTCTAAATGTTCAAAGTGAGAAAAACCCTAAAGGATCAAATTGTTTAAAAAAAAACTTAAAAGACCAATCTGTTACAAAAAAAAACATAAAGGACTTCTGATGTAGTTTTACCAAAATGAAATTGAAAGAGAGAATAGTAGTATAAAAATGAGAAGATGAAAAAGAAAGAACACAAAATAAGAGAGATTAAATAAAAAGATGCGAGATGTATTCGACAAAGAAGATGTGATACTTTTAAAAGAGATTTAAGAAGGTTGAAACCGCTCTCCGAATGTAAAGAAAAAGTCGTTTGTAATCGTAATGCTAAAACATAATATGTTTGAGTTTTGGGTTGAATAAGAGTTAAGTGAAATTTGATTATAATAAAAAATATAATAAAAAATTTAATAAGTGAAATTGGATAGGCATTAATGCTAAAATATAATAAAAAATTTAATACATCCGAATGAAATTTAATTATTTACGATTATTCAATTTGATTCGGTTTAACGATTTTTCAATTTGATTCAGTTTGAATAATAACTTTCTATCTGACACTCCTTTAGATGTGTTTAGTTTGGTTATGAAGATATTTATATATATTATTTTGAGATCTATTTTTTTTAAGTAGTATTCCCTTCAATCACTATTATGAGTAAAGATTCTTTTTTAGATTTATTAAAATAGTTTATGTATGTGGTCTATATAAAATTAAATATATAAATTATTTAATGAATTTTAAAAAAAAAAATTTACTTATAATAGTGATCAGAGAAAATATATATTTATGTTAGCATTCATTTTTTTATTAGAATTTATTTGTTTTTATTTATTTTTTATTAAGATTTAATCTATCATTTTTACCATACACTTCTATGAACTTTTGTTGAGTTTATAGTAATATTATTATTTTGAAGAAAATATTATTTTTGTTTGAATGACATATGATAAAATAAACATATGTGTTAAGAATTTAAATGTAAAAATATTGTGTTAAAACTTTTTTTAGTAATTTATTTTATAAGCTTTTAAGAGCATAGACACACTTCTTTTTATAAAGGCCTTAGTCCACATTGATAGTTTTTTATGTAAAATTTTAAGTAGGATTCGTTATCATTAAAATCATGTAATGACAGTTGAATTGATTTTTCAGAATCCAATAGCAGGCAAAAGTGAGGTAAATAATAGGTGAATGGCCTTAATAGTAATGAAAATAAAAGGAATAGAGGAAAAAGATAGAGAGAGTACAATCTCTCTTCTGTGTGGGATGATCTCATATAAATTGACACCACACAATTTGAGCTACCCACTACTAATATTCTCTCACTCACTAACAAACTGGGTCCACCTTGGATGCTTTCCTTTGATTCTATTACTGCGCCTCACTTCCTTCTTCTTTGCCATGTCAGCATTCCCTTCCTCATTAACATTATTTTCCTCAATTGGACCCTTCTCACCCATAACATTACCCTTCAAGCACAATCTTGTCCTCAAGATTGAGGTTTGGATAAGTCTGCAACATTTCCTCTCTGTCTTCCCAAGTTGCCTCATGACTTGGCATATCCTTCCATTTCACCAACACATGTTCCACCACTTGGTCTCCTTTAAGAATTCTTCGCGTATTCAATACCGCTGATGGTTGAATCACAGGTCCTTCTTCCACTGTAGTTAATGGTAATGGTAAGTATGGTACTGCAGTGAGTCCTTTGAACACTTTCAATTAGGATACATGAAATACTGGATGTATACGAGCTGTCTCAGGTAATTGAAGCTTATAAGCTACAACACCAATTTTGTCAATGATATTGAATGGACCAAAGTACCTCATCCCTAACTTATTGTTCTTTCTCAAAGCTACCGAAGATTGTCTATAAGGCTGAAATTTGACTAACACTTGATCACTAATCTCCAAAGAAACATCTTTTCTTTTCTTATCAGCATTGTTCTTCATCACTTGTTGAGCTCTCCCCAAATTCTCTTTCAACTGCAGTAGAATTCTATCGCGTTCTATTAACTGTTGTTGCAGCTCCATAGGATCATCATTGCTAACATTGTAACGGATTAGCATAGGAGGTTCTCTCCCATATAACGCTTTGAATGGAGACATTACCAAACTTGAGTGCCATGCCGTATTATACCACAGTTCTGCCCAAGTGAGAGCTTTGGACCAATCCTTTGGATTCTTGAAAGAAAAACACCTCAAATACATTTCTAAGCATTTATTGACAGCTTCGGATTGGCCATCCGTTTGTGGATGATAAGTTGAGCTCATCGCTAATGTTGTACCCTGTAATTGGAATAAATGTTGCCAGAATTTACTAGTGAATATCTTATCTCTGTTAGAAATTATTGACTTAGGCATTCCATGTAGCTTAACAACATTATGCATAAATGTCTCTGCGACTGTCTTACTAGAGTAATCCGATTTCATAGGCATGAAATGTGCATACTTACTTAGTCGGTCGACCACTACCATGATAACAGTAAAACCAGAAGAAGGAGGTAAGCCAGTAATAAAATCCATCGAGATATCCTCCCACACCTGCTCTGGAATTGGCAGCTGGTGCAACAAGCCAGCATAAGGAGTGTTGACAGACTTAGCTTGTTGGCATATGATACAAGCTTCAATGAATTTTTGCACATGTTGTCGCATATTAGGCCAATAGAACTGAGACACAACCCTTGCAAGAGTTTTGGTCACTCCCATGTGTCCCCCGATAGGTGTGTCATGATATTCCTTGAGAATGGTTTGAATTAAACAACTCTCAGCAGGAACTACCAACCTGTGTTTCCAATACAAGAAGCCCTCTTTTACGGAATAATTGTCGTGGTTCACATTATCATGAAGGCATTGTTGTACTATTAATTTCAAATGCGCATCCTCAATAATTGCTTTCTTTAACGCATCTAAAAACTCACACTCCGGTGATGACAAAGACAAGGACATCATTCTAGATAATGCGTCAGCTGCTTGATTCTCTTTCCCTGGCTTATATTCGATTTGGAAATCAAATCCAATGAATTTGTGAAGCCACGCTTTCTGTTCAGGGGTTTGGAGAGATTGGTCTAGGAGACTTTTCAAGCTCTTTTGGTCTGTTCTTAGAATGAATTTATGACCAAGTAGGTAGTGCCGAAACTTAGCTAGAGCTGCTGTAATAGCATAAAATTCTCTTGTATACACGGATTGTAGCTGCATTCTCGAAACCATCTTCTTAGAAAAGAAAGCTATGGGGTGCCCTCCTTGACTTAGCACTGCTCCCACACCTGTACCCGAAGCATCTGTCTCAAGTATGAATACTTGTAAAAAATCTGGTAGCACTAAAACAGGTGCTGAAGTGATCGCCATTTTTAACTGCTCGAAAGTTGTTTGAGTATTTTCATCCCACTTAAAAGCATCTTTCTTCAAAAGATTGGTGAGAGGACCGGCTATGGTCGCATAGGACTTGATAAATCTTCTATAATATCCGGTAAGCCCAAGAAATCCTCTTAATTGTTTCAAAGTCGTTGGAGTATGCCAATCTAACACTGCTTGAACTTTTGTTCTATCCATTGAGACACCAGCACCAAAAACTATGTGACCCAGATACTCCACTTCTGATAAACCAAATGAACATTTGGAAAGTTTCACGTACAACACATTTTGACTTAATATCTGAAACACAGTTTCTACATGTTGTAAATGTGATTGCCATGAAGGGCTATAAACTAGTATGTCGTCAAAGAAAACTAGAACGCACTTCCTTAACAACGGTTGGAATAACTGATTCATAATTCATTGGAATGTAGCGGGTGCGTTGGTAAGTCCGAACGACATCACTAACCACTCATAATGACCTTGGTGAGTTCTAAAAGCCGTTTTCTGCCTGTCCTCTTGCTTGAGAAGTATCTGGTGATAACCGGAACGAAGATCAAGCTTAGAAAAAAAATTTGCTCCATGTAACTTATCAAGTAACTCATCCACAGTAGGCATGGGAAAACTGTCCTTGATAGTTATAGCATTCAAAGCCCTATAATCCGTACAACATCTCCAAGTTCCATCTTTCTTCTTCACTAAAATAATTAGGGATGAAAAAGGGCTGAGACTTGGTTGGATTATACCGTCTTCAAGCATATCCTGCACCATCTTTTCAATTTGTTGTTTCTGACTATGTGGATATCTATAGAGTCTCACCTTCACAGGTTGTGCTCCTTCTTTCAATAATATCTCATGACTCAATCCTCGCGCGGGAGGTAGTCCTTTAGGTATTTGAAATATCTCTCTGTATGTATGCAATAATGTACTGATTTCTGGATCAAGATCAACGGGTCTGCCATTCCAATTATCTTCTAGAACAACCGGATCAATCTTTTGAATAGTAAAAAACTCACTAATTGCATTCATTTGGTTTAATCTCTTGAAAAGATTCAGTTGCGCGACAATCAGCTTGTTACCGGCTTCACCTTGTAATGTGACAAACTTTCCCTCTAGGTAAAATTTTAACATGGATGTAGCATAGTCAGCTACATGAGGTTCCAATGAAGCTAACCATGAGGTGCCTAGGATGACATCCGCCCCTGCTACAAGCAAGAGATAAGCAGGCACAGTAACCTCAATGCCTTGTATCTTCAGAGACAATTTCTTGACCACACCTTCAGTCTTCATGTTTTGTGCATTTCCAACCAGAACCTTGCACCCGTTAGTTGGTTCCACATCTAAATTTAGGCACTTACAATACGTGGTTGAATGAAGTTGTCTGAGCTTCCTCCATCAAGCAGAATCAAAACACAAATAAGACCAATATAGCCCTTAAATCGAATCACACACATTCCTGTAGCTCCATGGAAAGCATTAAAAGATAAGTGGTGCTCTGTCATCTCTTCAGACTCGGCTGTACTATTATTTATATCTGCTGAGCTAGGTGAATTGAGATATTCAGGATCGTCATTTAGCTCCAATAACATCAAATGCTTGTTTGGGCACTTGTAGCGATAAAAAATGTAGCGGGGTAAATCAGAGATCGAGCTATTAATTAACTCGTATCACAAAAGCAAGAGTCGCCACCATGCTTTATTATTTCCAAGGGAAAAAGGAAAAGAGCGAAATAAAACCCTAAAATATGCAATGTAAAATAATACTTAAAAGTAATGAAAATACAAGGTATTTTGAAAAGAGATCTAGAGTTCGGGGGTTGGTTATACAATGGGAAGGTATTAGCACCCAATGTATCTATAGTATCCTATAGTAACCTTTTGAAATATCTGTTTATTAAAATTGTTTGTTTGATTAAAATAGCTTATTTGGCCAAAAATGGATAGGGACGAGATTTTGAAGATACGACGACCTAACGTCGAAGTTTTGACTTAAAAGGTGTGAGTTTTGAAAATTGAACATTTGAGAAAGTTATCTTAAGTTTTTAACAAAATAATCAACGAAAAATGAATGAGGGTATTCGCACCATTAGATGAGATATGTTTGATGACATGAAGTCAACAAAATTTAAAACAATTCCCTTGGATTGAGACGAACAAAAGATATAAAGATTAACGATTGATGACAAAATTTAATTAAGATGACAATTGAACAAATAGCTAATGTAAATTAAATTATACTAGCATGCATTTTAAATTATTAAATAAACAACCAAGAGTACATACAGATTAAATTGCAATATCATGGATTTTTTTAACATTTAAACAAATAGCAAAAATTAAATAATAAAAACTAACTTATGTATTTTTTTGAATAATTAAATAAACAACAACAAAAATTAAATAAAATATTAATAGCATGTTGACAAAATTAAATAAAAGATAAATTTATAATAACATGTTTATTTTTATGTTTTGTAATTAAATAGTAATTATATAATAAAGTAAACTAATATATAATCAAGCTGAGAGGAAAAAGCTTAAAAGAACTGAAAAAATGTCCCAGCAAGAGTTGAACTCGGGTCCCTAAGGTTACTGGTAACATGATTTGCCATTTAAACTGTGTTCTTATTCGTTTATTGACACGATTTGATTAAAACATAAAGAGAAAGTAGCAATGATGCTGGACCAAAACAGGCCCAATGGGCCAACCGGGTTTGTAAAAGAAAGGAACAAGAAAATTGAGAAAACCCTAAATAGTAGAGATGTGCCGCCGCTGTACACTTGAAAGGGAAGGAAAAAACCAAATTCTATCTTGCAAAAACATCATCCAAACAAAACTTCCAGAACTGATAAATTCGTAAATGTTCTCTCTTTTTTCTTAAACCTCTCAAGAACTCTCATCATCTTCATCTAATCTAAACAGATCTGAACAGAAACAACATGACCGATCTGATTGAAAAGGTCGTAAATCTGCGAATCATTGACGTCATGATCGAGATCTCCGATGTACAGTGACGTCGTGGTCAAATGATTGGGAACCGGAGCAGTAGCGTCATTGTTGGAACTCTCGTGAACTTGTGCCATCGGTGGTTAGTTTTTCGATTGAATAAACGTTACCAAAATGAAAACCCTAATCGTTCAACGGGGAAAGATGATTTGAAAACTTTTTTTGGTTTTTTAGGTTTTTGACAGATTGAGCGTTCTTTGACAGGTTTTGGTTCTTGGTGCTAATGCCGATTTTATGGTGAACTGGTTTTACAAGTTCTAATGGTTTGAACAGGTTGTAAGCTTTGTTATTTGGAACAAGTTCTAAGATCTCTTACAAATCGAGGTTTTATTGTTCTGGAACAATTTCTAAGATTGCAGATTGTATATTTTGGATGGCAGATTGTCATTAACAGCGGGTTCCAAAATTGGTAACAGGTTTTAACGTTTTTTTTTTGGATTTTGGTAACAATAGGCTTCAAGATTGGAATAGGTTAAGTTGGTTCCGGTTTTAACAGGTTTTTGTTAACAGGTTACGGTTCTATGGTTTTGGTTTACAGGTTTTACGGTTTTTAAAAGGTTGTTAACAAGTTTCGGTTTTATCAGGTTGAGGCTTTTGGAACAGGTTAAACTGTCTTGCAGGTTGAGGTTTTTAACAACTTAAGGTTTGGATGGATAAGCTAGTTACAGACTTTGTGCTGGTTTGCAGGTTAATTATTTTGGTGGTTGACAGGTTCTATGGTTTTAAGTTTTTGATAGGTTAATTGATTCTATGCTGGCTTTATATGGTTTGCAGGGTATTTGGTTAACTGGTTTTACAGTTTGCGGGTTCTAACGTGTTGGATTGACAGCAAGTTCTGAGATTTACTGGTTTTATGGTTTTATGTTTTTTGGGTTGTTCTAAGTGTTTGTGCAGGTTAAGGTTGTTTGTAGGTTATATGCCGGTGTTTTGATAGAGATTTTAAACTGGTTTTAGTGGTTTAACAGCTTAAGGTGAGTTAGGATGAATTGAATCACATAAAGCAAGTTTCTACAATTTTTATTTTCTGATATTCTTTAAAAACTGTTTTTCTCGGTGTTTATTAATACTAACATTTTCAAAATGTTAACAAATTACAGCAACTAAAAAAAATACAGCAAGGAAAGTAATGATGAAGCAAGCATTGTATGGTAGAAAAATGGCATAATAGAATGGTTCAAACATGAATATATGCAGCAGTATATAGGGAGGAGGAAGAGAATAATACCTATCGGAGCCTCTCCGACGGAGCTTCTAAAAAGATAGTAAGTTTTCTTGAGTTTGCTATATCTTCTTCTTGCTGAATTTTTAGAACAAAACTATATTTTTTTTGTTTTTACCCTTGCTGAAATTTTTGGATTCCTTTCTTTTCTGCTGAATTTTTGACTTCTCTCCTCCTCTTTTGTGTTGATAGAAGCCTCTATTTATAGTGAAATGTGTGGGGTTTTAGGGGGGGAAAACAGTAGAAATTTGAACAAATTCAGGCCCTGTTTTGATGTTTCATGGGATAGCTTTTTGAAGTATCCATTTTAGTGCAAAATTTGGAGCTTTGCATACTGTTTTTGCAACAGCAAAATATGCAGATTTTTGTCTTATAGGCTGCATTCTGGACTGCTTTGCAGGACAGAATTGGACAGCAGCTTGGCATGGTCTTTGTTGACACAAGGTTGAAGAAAATAAACAACACTACACTAAAAAATAATGGACTGTTATGGATTAATGTAGTGCTGGAAAAATAGGCAGCATTGGAATTGTTTTGTAGCAAGAATAATAATTGATTTTCATGTACAAAACTTATAATTTATTTTGTAACTTTGTAACAACAAGTCCAAATAAATTGTAATATGAATAAACATGTATTCTTCAATTTATTCTCAATTCCTTTTGTAATTATATATAATCTTGAATCTTCATATAATCATGAATCTTGATATATCTTGATAAAAATTCAAGGCCTTCCATTCGAATTGAGAAAGAGTTGAACAATACTTGAATAAACTGTTGAATGATGAATAAATAATAATGCAAGTCTTAGACTTTAATCTTGCATTTTTGTAATAGAGATCCAAATAAATCACATGAATTAATTTTGTAATTAAATAGAATTCTTCATGTAATTAATTTTGTGATGACCGATTAATTGGATCGAATTCCTTTTTCCACTAACTTCTTGAATAAATGCTTCATGTAAGTTCACCAAACTAATCACAAAAATAATCTTGATTAAATATTTCATGCGATAAATGATTATTCTTGGATGAGATCTCTTGATAGCTCCTATTTAATTATCACTTGAGTTCAAATAAAGAATATTCCGAATAAATTCTTCTAGAACGATTTTGAATTTAATCATCCCGTTTTGGAGAATTCAACTCGCGTCATGAGAAAATTTGCAGATGACTTTGGTCAAAGAAATCGAAAATGACGGTGTAACTTGGTTTTCTTGTATTTTAGAACAATGTGAAACACACATGAACCAAAGTCGTTAGAACTTCGACCGTTCTTTCTCAAAAAATATTCGGAGAAACTGGAGACCATCTGTTGGCCAGAGTGTGGAAATAAATGCACAATTCTCTGAAATTCTTTGATGAACCAGTCTTTGAGAATTAACGACCGACCGTATTTCTGCTTCGAGACTCGAAACCCTAATCGATGTGTGACGTACGATGCTCTTCTTTCAGACCTATTTCCTGCACATGAAAACAAAACAATAAAACATACACTTCGTGCTTGATTAATGGTTAGTCATTCGTAAGATAAAATGCTCACAACACTCGATAATCTCTACACAGTCAAAGCTCGAAGGCGAAACGTTCGGAACCTACCATATTCGGTGACCTTGATGCAATACAAACGAAACAGGGATCTTAGGTCAAAAATTGGGATATGACAACACTTATGTGAAAAAGAGAATTTGTCATCACAAAAGTAACACATGCCTTTCTCCCTTCTCAATTGCATCTCTACTGGAGAAATCCTTTTGATTGCAGGGTTCTTTTGGAATTGGCTCATAGGTCTAGTAGGTGGTGTGGGAAGTAAGGGTGGGTTGGGGGCTTTTTCGGTAGTTTGTGTTTGGTCATTTCTGGTTGGATTGAAGTGAGTTCTATTAGGGTGATAAACCGATTTTTGTGGAGCAGACACAGATTTCTGAGCAGTCAATTCTTCCTCAAATAACTTGGCAATAGACACAGCCTTCACAATTGAAATAGGACAATGCAACATAACATCTCTACGAATTTCTTCTTTCAATCCACTTACAAAGCAATCAATTAATGCATCATTGCTTAATCCATAAACACGATTGGACAAAGCAGTGAATTCAAGGTAATAATCATTAACAGATTTTGTTTGTTGCAATTTAAACAGAGATACTCTTGGGCAATCATAAATTGAAGGACCAAAATCCAGTTCAAGAGCTCGTGTAAAATCATGCCATGATTGAAATGGTTGAGATCTAGTAACCATTTGGAACCACGGAACAACTTCTTGTTCTAGGTGGACAGAAGCGATAATCAATCTCTCCGGATCTGGAGTATGAAAATAACCAAAAAATTGTTCAGCCTTAAAAATCCAATCGAGGACATTCTTACCATTAAACCTTGGAAATTCCAGCTTAATGTTGCGAACATGAAATGGAGGTGTTGAAGTCGCAGGTCCCGACGATGATGAGTGAGATATGGTTGATGTCTGAGATGCTGAGTTCGTGCTTCCATGGGTGACATCGAGAGCTTGCATCTATTTCAGTATCATTTCCATAGATTTCGACAACTCCACAAAGCGTGACTCTGATGATAACTGCATCGTCTCCATTCTCGCAAAACGAGGTGCATTTGACTGTTCGTTCTTCTCCAGAACTTCGCCTCGGTGTTTAACCTCAGCTGCAAGCTCCTTCATTCTGGTGTTGTCGGCCATGAATGTGATGAAAACACCAATGTAATGACAGTTCAATTAATTTCTCAGTATCCAATAGCAGGCAAAAGTGAGGTAAATAATAGGTGAATGAAATAATTTTCAAGTGCAGAGCCTTAACAGTAATGAAAATAAAAGGAATAGAGGAAAAAGATAAAGAGAGTACAATCTCTCTTTTGTGTGGTGAATAAGAGAGAGAGAGAGAGAGAGAGAGAGAGAGAGAGAGAGAGAGAGAGAGAGAGAGAGAGAGAGAGAGAGAGAGAGAGAGAGAGAGAGAGAGAGAGAGAAGAGAGAGAATGATCTCATACAAATTCACACCACACAATTTGAGCTACCCACTACTAATATTCTCTCACTCACTAACAAACTGAGTCCACCTTGGGTGCTTTCCTTTGATTCTATTACTGCGCCTCACTTCCTTCTTCTTTGCCATGTCAGCATTTCCTTCCTCATTAATATTATTTTCCTCAATTGGACCCTTCTCACCCATAACAAATTATATAAATAAAATCTATTCAATTTCATTATTGAAAAAAACATATTCACTCCATATATATATATATATATATATATATATATATATATATATATATATATATATATATATATATATATATATATATATATATATATATATACACTAAAACGATTGTAATTCACTCAAGAGCAAGTAAATAATATGATAAGTGATATCTTTTAACTTAATCAAAAACTAAACACATATTAGTATTAAAAAAATTTTTAGAAAGAGTTTTGTCATTTATTGTAGTTCACATTAAAGGAATGTCAATTTGTATTTGTTAATGAGAATCTCTATTCGGAATTCTGAAATTAGAGATTTTTTTTGTAGAGATGTAGATGAAATAATTTTTTTTCTCGATGACATTTTAGAGTGGGGATGGAAGAAGTATCTTCTATCCCATAGATTATTTAATCCGACCATATTATTTAACTTTTATATTTATATATTATATAATATATAATTATATAGATTTACATATTTTTTAATAAAAAATATTAATACATTAGAAAATAAAGAGTAATTAGTAGATCATTTATTTTATTTTATTGTATAATGTATTATTTAACTACCTAACTATCAAACTCTAGAAAAATACACTCAATATATACAATGTCCACATCACCTCATCCTATTCTTTTCTCTATCTCCTATATTCTCATCATCATTATCATCGTCACAACAACCACTCTTCTTTATTCACTGTACTTATGATAATTATTTTTTAATTTTACTTTACTTTTATTAATAACATATTTTTAATTCAATTATAAATAAGTGGTTATGTTTTTATGATGAGTGTGAATGAATTCGATAACCATAAATTTATCACACTCAAACATAATCAATCACTTGTGATAGACCAAAGTGATAATGTGGTAATAAATTAGTAGAATAGTTTTCTTAAAATAGAAGGAGATAAATATTAAATAGTGTTACTATTATTTTTTTCTTATGTATTGTGACATTACATCATGTTTGTAGAGCATGCATTATAGCAACAAATTCCGTTAAATATTTATCTTTTTATAGAAAAATTAACAATAATATGTAGTTTTGTTTTTTTTCTTTCTATTATTGATTCAAAATGTCTTTTTTACTTTTAAAATAAAAAAGACGTAAAATATATATATATATATATATATATATATATATATATATATATATATATTAAAAGAAAAAAATAAAATAATAATATCATAATTTTGATAAGAAAATAAAATAATTTATTTAAGATTTGATCCGTGTGAAACTATAAAAAATTGTGAAGAAAAATATTCATCTATAATAAAGATTATAAGACTAACAAATTTTAAAATTATCCTCGAATCATTCTGTAAATGTATGGATAGTTTTGCATAATATCCACCAAATTCAAAACAAAAAAATGATAATTTGATATTTTATAAATTATTAATATTTTTAATTAATATTTTTAATTAATAAAATATTATTTTATATTAAAAAAATTATATTTTCGATATTACTATGTACAGAAAATAATTCATTATTTGCTTTAGAAAATAGCAAAATATGAATATGTTTAACGACATCGTATCCTGGATCAACCACCGGCACCCGTAGCAAGTACTCTAACCCTAATTTATCACACGCGCCGCCGTCACTCCCTACTCCGACCGGTGACATGGTGCGTCGCAAACGGGAAAGTCTCCCACCGAAGATTTCAAGCGATGATTATCCTTCAAAGCGTAGAAGACATTCCATGTTCGAAATTTCGGCCTCTAATCACCGAGTATCTTCCTCTTCTAGGAAATGGGTTTTCTCCTCCGAAAATTGCTCTGATTGCACGGGTTAGAATCACAGAAAGCTACCAACTTGTTGAAATATTAGTTATTTTTGAGTTTTTTTTACTCTGAATTTTGCATTCAAATGTGATCTAAGTTTTATGCTTATAAGTGTTAGATTCTCTGGTTGAGAGTTAAATGTGAGAAACAAAAATGGATTATTTAATTAAAAAAATGTTTTTTAGTATGAAAAGTAATTAGAGAGAGTGAGATTGTGATTGGTATACCAGAGTGTGATTGAGTGAAATCTTTGGTACTAATTTGCATTGTTGTAAGGTTTTGAATTGCAGTTGTTTTGAGGTTGTAATATTGCATAGAATTGCGGTTGATTTGTCTGTGATCAAGATGGCTAAAGATTTCTCCATATTTTGGAGTTAGTGATTGACTGTTTGTAATTTAGACTTTAGATAAGATTGTGTTTACCTCGTATTTACTATTTGAACCCTGTCCTTGTCTTGCAGATACGGTTGTAGTTGTTTCATACAATATACTTGGTGTTGAAAATGCATCAAATCATATGGATTTATATTCCAATATCCCACGACGTTTCTTGGAGTGGGGAAGACGCAAGAGGCTTATACTTGACGAGATTAACAGCTATAATGCAAGTATACTCTGTTTCCAGGTAGTTTAATAATCTCTCAGTGTTATACACTGCATAGCACAGCTTAGTATGTTTTTACAAACTTACAATCATTTTACATTCATCATTTATGCATCTCTACTGAGCCTTGAAAGTTTGAACAAGAAGAGTTGAATGTAATTGTTTGTATTTAGCTACAGCTCTTGGTTACTTGTATTCATGTTAAGAGTCTCATATCGGACATTATATGGCTTGAGCGTGTGTTTATAACTGGGGGACAATCTTCACCTTACAAGCCGGTTTTGTAGGGATGAGTTAGGCCCAACCACGTCTGTTAACATAATCAGTTGTTTTCTTTATTGTTCCTTCATGGGTTTTGTTGAGATACAAATAATGCACGTATTCTAATGTTAATGCCAGTTGGCACATAATTGATTTCATGCATCCTAGAATTGAATTGTCAATAATTGACTTCTATAAATCGTATGTCTGCAGGAGGTTGATCATTTTGATGATTTGGATGATCTTTTTCAGAACAATGGCTTTAAAAGTGCTTACAAGGTAAGTTATATACATTTGAATGGTCATATATGTTTTTGATGTCCAACTATTAATCAATTTTCCTTACCGGGGTTATTATTATCAATTTTCATAGGCTCGCACGGGAGAAGCAAACGATGGATGTGCTATATTTTGGAAAGACAAATTGTGGGTTTGCATTTCTTAATTATTAGATAATAAGGCTTTTGTATCTACTATTAATTTGTTTGATATCTTACATTTGTAACCTTTGACAACAAATAAAACAGACGCATAAGTATTCCTGGATACAAAGGAATGCCAATGGATCAAAGATTTGCCAATTGTAGAACATAGAAATTGTTAAAATAGAGTCCAAATTTGGTCTAAATGCAGCATATTTTCAAAATTTGAATGCAGATTCAGTCTTTTGCATCAAGAAGATATCGAGTTCCAAAAGTTTGGTCTGCGTAACAATGTTGCTCAGCTTTGTGTTTTGGAGGTATAGAAGGCTTGTTTTTAATATTTTAATTTGTTTCCTACTTGTTGTGTTTTATATTTGCTCCATTGTCTTTTATTAGATATGTTTATAATCTGTTGTTCAAATTGTTTACCCTTGATTAAGTCCTGTTTTACTTAGTACTATTTTTATATACTACTATGCATATGTATGTTCTTGTTGTATTAGACATCTTAGGTTTTGTTTTATATCTCATTACCCTTTATTGCACCATTTATTTACAGGTAAACAATGATAGTCCAGAATCTGAAGCATGTAAACTAACAGCAGGGTAAGTTTTATGTTGTCTAAAATGGGTAATGTGAACACAAATTATCTGTTGTCTTTAACATATCTTTTATGTAATATTTGGGATGTTTATATTCAAGTATCCTATAGTGCTTACTTGCGTATGTATATTTAATTATTGCATACAAATATCTAACTATTTACTGTATTTTCTTACTTTTATGATAACATTCATTTTATCACTGAACTTTTGCTGCAAAGGTGTTTGGAAGTGAAAATATTTGAAAGAATAAAACATATGATTATGCATGCTCATATGCTGACGCACAAACGGTGCCTATTTCATGACCATGCAGTTTTAATATTTTCTGTTTCGTGACTGAGATTGATCTAAATCTGTAGGGAAGAATCCACCAAAAACAAAAGATTTGTAATAGGAAATATACACGTGTTGTTCAACCCTAACCGTGGTGATATCAAACTTGGCCAGGTACTTCTTAAATTTTTTACAAGCTGGGTAGCTTTATACTTATTGTTGTACTTGTAAGTATGACGAGTGCTAAAGCACACTTTCTAACACTCTTTTATTAGTTATATTATATAAGCTCTGCTAAATTATGTGGGTCCCATTTAAATTTTGACCTATAAAAATAGTGTTTATTAGCATTATTCTTGTCCGCATTTGTGTTTGTGCTTGTGACTTTTTCCTTAAGGTCTGTTTGGGAGGTGGATTTTGGAGGGTTTTAAAGGGTTAGATCTATATATTTTTGAAATTTAAAAAAAGGAAAGAATATTATGATATTTTGTCATATAACAATTCAATACACTTCATTCATTTTTAGAAATATTTCATAGTTTGTTTAATTTAGGAAAGAAAAACAAGTTGTCCCCTCCAAAATCCCTCTCTCAAACAGACCCGTTTTAGATGTTCTTTTCTGGGCTGGGATCGGTGCAGACTGCAAGCCATTTTGGCCCACTCAAACAATTTGACTGTCTATTGTTAATTAATAAAATCAATTAAGTTGTCTAATAATTTATTGTATTGATTCTGGTAACTTGGCACATGACATAATGGACAGGTCAGACTTTTAATTGATAAAGCTTACAAGTTATCACAAGAATGGGGAAACATCCCTGTTATTTTAGCTGGAGATTTAAACAGTGTACCACAGGTAAGGTTATCTGTACTAAGCAAGTGGTCAACGTTAAGATTTTTTTGTCGAGTGTGCGGTTACTTCATTGCTTCTATTTTTTTGTTCTCGTGTTGGCAGAGTGCAATATATAAATTTCTGTCTTCATCAAAGGTGAGTTTGGCATATCCTCAACATGGTACATTCTCAAGCCTTTAAGCCTTATTTTTTGTGCTGTATATAAGAAATTTGAGTATATGGACAGAATCTCAGACCTTGAGTGAGTAGTTTATTTGTGTTTGGATTATAGGTTGTAAAGGGAACGGAAAGGGAATAAGGGATAGGAAAGGAGAATCGATTCCTTAATTCTATTTATGTTTGGATTATAGGTAGTAAAGTCTTCAATAGACGATTTGTTTAAAAGAGTGATTTTCATTATAATAAACAAAGATAAAACAGCTTCTGCTTTTCTTAAAAATCTCTAAAAATATAAATACTAAATTATTAAATGTCAAAATCATTTGTTTGTAATTTGCAACAAACGGCCATGTCGTTTTTTTGCAACAAACGGGCATATAGTGTTGTTCCTTTCCCTTATTAATCTTCCAAACCAGGGTAAAGGTAGTTTTATTCCAGTCTGTTCCTCCTTATTGCATTTAATTCCATTAATGCAAAAGCATCCAACACAGTAAGGGGTAGATTTTGTTGTTTGTGGGGTAGGGACCATGAAAAAGTTTATAGTATTTATTAAGTTACTGCACTATTTATTGCAGTTAGACGTCCAATTACATGATCGCAGAAATATGTCAGGACAGCTTGAAATCCGGCCCAATCACAGATACTTCAGATCAAAGATTGGTGATGATGCTAGGTTGTTTTCGAGTAAAAACTTTTATTTTGAGTTACTATATATGATATATGACATAGGACACAACTTCACCTCCCTGCCCCCTCTTTAGAAACATGGCAATTAGCAATGATTTATCAAGACTTCTGATTATTTATTATGAAAAATAAACGTTTTTTTTTATTGCTCTGAACAGTGTATTTCCATCATCATAATTTTCCAATTTTAGAGGGAAGGATTGTAATCCTTGTTCACATATGTTATATGTTTTGTATTCTATGATAATTACTTAGGTGTATATCTGGTGCAGCATTTCAATGTCTGTTTCAAGGCAAATAGTATACAAATGGAGTGCGGAAGAACTAATCCTTGCAACTGGCGCAAAAGGAGTCACTCGACTTCAGCACCAGCTCAAGCTCCGCAGTGCTTATAGTGGCATTCCTGTATGTTATTTGAATCTACCAACTGTATTTCTAAATTTAATAAATATAATAATTACATATTTACAATAATCTATTTCTCCAATTTTCTTTTTCGTGTGCTTAAGATAATAAGTTTATCCATGATATTTTGATATGGGAAACTTCTTGGAACTTTTTTACGACAATGACGATATTTTCCACGTCATATAACAGGGAAAGCTTAGAACAAGAGATGATATTGGAGAGCCCTTGGCAACATCATACCACTCTAAGTTCATGGGAACTGTTGATTATATCTGGTAGTTACATCATTCCATACCAAACACCAAAAAACTATTTGAATTTACAAATTTTCCGTTACTGACGATAGTGGTAAGCAGGCATTCTGAGGAACTTATCCCAGTCAGAGTTCTTGAAACCTTGCCCATTGATATTCTTAGAAGAACTAGAGGACTCCCTAACGAGGTACTCTACTTAAAACATGGTCTTGTATGCTTGTATACTATCTGGATACATAGTTGTATTTAATTTCTCATCTTTTTCAAATTATTATCTGTACTAAAGTGTCAGTGTCGTGTCCTTATCTGGGTCATTGTTTCATAACTTGCATCGATGCATATGTATTCTGTTCCATATTGTATTATCAATATCTTATATGATTCTGTTGTTCCCTGCAGAATTGGGGAAGTGACCACCTCGCCGTTGTATGTGAATTTGCCTTTGCAAAAACTGCTGAAAGTTCTGATTCTCGTGATCTTCCCTAGAGTAGTATGTATGAAACCAGAACCTTAGGCTGATCGAAAAGTATGGAAATTGATGAGAGTCAAATCATTTTCTGTTTCAAGACCTGTTCTTGCACTGCTCATTCTTTCATCATGAGATCAAGTTTCGAATTGCTTCTTGATAATTCAAAATGAACATCATGCTGCAACTTGCCACAGATCTGCAAAGTGCAAACTCTCCCTGTGAACATGTGGTAACAACCTGTTGCGAGGTTCAGAGAAAAGTTGGTACATATCCAAAATAATGTATGTCTCAGAGACTTAATTATGTATGTTATCACTAATTATTTGTAATGTTTTCTCAATTATTGCAGTAACTAAGAATTGTATTCTCCATAAGTTATTTCAGTCATTTATCAATCCAATGAGTTTCAGACTCCTATAGATTCTGAATTGGTTATTTTCATGCCAAGATGTTTAATGCTAATACGCATGTTTATTGTCTAATTGCAAGAGATTAACACAATTGTACAGATTGTCCTTGTCATCCACCCTTGGAAAAGGAACAACAAGAATGTTTTAAATTATTCTCCTTAATTTGCCTTTTTTATGCTTACGTGAAAGGGGAAAACACTAGCTAATTTTGTTGGTTTGAAAGAGACATATCTTCCTTGTTCTTGTCATGCTTTTCCTTTTACCTCTGCCTTAATATATATATTTTTGTTTTCTTTTCCATTCATCGGCGGTAGACAAAACAATGCAATGTCTTCTTAAAGTGAAAAAAAAGAAGGAAAATACAATGTTTATGTAGACAAATATGAAGCAAATTCAAAATCTCATGTTTACAATTTTACATTTGAAAAACTCAACATGTCAATAGAGACTGAGAACAAATCCTTAACAAATAACAGAACAACTATACTCCTTTTGTTTGCATATACATGCTATGTAATTATAGTTGCCAATTTTACTCTACCGCAACAAGACTTTTCTCACTAAGTTTATTGTGGTCGCAAATTCACGCATTCATGACTTCAGCGTATAGATAATTGTTGGATTGAAATCGGATTGGACAGAAGGCAGACAAATAGTGTCTTTTCTATAAACTCTAAAATATCAAATTTGAAATCTAGACTGTCCAATCTTTGTCCAATGACCACATATGTCGATTACCTGAAAATGCGTCCAGCAACGAATTCAAATTCGAAAAACAGATGTATGACATTCCACCAGACTTTTTGTAGAACACATAGATGCAAAATTTTAGTGGCAATCCCAATTAGGAGTTTCATCAAACCAATCTAGCTCAGGATCATTGAAATCACAATCAATATATGGAAGAATGCTGCTACCTTCACCATCTTCTACCTTCCACATAGAGCCACAGTCAATTTCATTGTCCAACAAGTTACAAAATCCATCACCAAGCCACATTGCCATTTCATCAAGAAAACAAAGATCATGACCAGCCAATGATGCCACATTTGCCTCCTCTAGCAAATATAGAAATGAACTATCTTCTGTATTACAAACTCCTTCCACTACATTTCCTCTTTTTCCATCACCTCTTAACTCTTTGTCATCACTCTCTTTGACTGAATCATTAATGCCATTAATATCTTTTGCTGGTTCTGTAGCTGTGACAGTGACATCAAGCACAGATGATGGAGATGTTCGAAGCAACAACATTTCCTTAACATCTTCCAATGCATTCTTCTCATTCTCATAATCTAAGGGCATAAATGGAACAAAAATTTCCTGCACAAACCTCTTAGAACCATCTAATTGATACTCATTTCTCAAAAACGAATCTTCTTCTTCACTTGAATAATCTGTAGCATAAGGATCACTATACAAAATTCTAACTTTCCTCATTTTGTTCAAGTTTTTCACTTTAACTTGAACTTTCTCTTTTCCTCTCTTAGATTTAGTTGCATGCAAATATCTTCTTTTTCAGTGGATTAAACCACAACCCAAAATCTGAATATAGAAAATGAAACAAAAATTAAAAAAGGGTTGGAAAGATCAAGAAATTTTTCACTATCAAGAGGATAAAAAATGAACCTTTTTAAGTAAAAAAATGATAAAACCTCTAAAAACTATGGATTGTGCTAAGAGATATATAGGTGAATATACACATACCATTTTGATTTAACACTCATGCAGAAGTTTGACATAGTTATTGTGTGTCTCTGATCAAGTGGTTAAAGTTGCATGCAAGAGGCTCAACAAGAAGCATAGAGAAGAAACATAGAAAAAACGTTAAGCACATTCAAACCTCTGAAAACATATATGCAGCTTTCACTCTTTTTCAGCAGAAAGTCTTTACTTTACGGTGTGGAGAAGAAATGAAGGACAGAGAAACTATTGTACTTGTAAATAACTAGACATATAATAAGAATAGATTGAAACTGTCTTTAACAATTGTGTAAGTGCATGTTTTTAATTTGTCCATTTCTCAAAAAAGAGTAAAGATATAAGAGAGTATTTCTATTTTCTAGTGTTTCAACAAAAGACTTATAAGTTTATTAGAAACCTTATAAATCTCATAGATTAGACTCTCTAAATCACAACTAGATGTTGAATTTAAGTGATTACTAATTTGTTGATCTTCATTCCATCTATACCAATTTGAACTATTTAACTGATTTTGAATTAGAAAAGTATTTTTAACTTTAACATATACTTATTAGATTTCAATTTGTTTCTAACACTTCAAAAATATTCTTGCCCAAAAAACATAGCAAATATCTCAACTCCCACTATTTTCATGAGTACTATCACCATTTATCTAAAATATTCAATCCCTTCTCATAATTATTCAAATTAACTTCGTTAATTGACTCTTGACATTTCTCATATTTGATTACGACATTTGACGAACATTCGTTAACTTTAATTTCTTAAGATTCTCACATTACTCTTGGTTAGTATGATATATTCATTTTTTTTTTTATAGTTTTGAATTAATGTGCATCATCTTTATTGTATTTGTTCTATCTATTTGTTGTGATCTTTTGTAATTTTGTTAGATTTGAGAAAAAGGTTTGTGAGTGGTTGCGATATATAATTCGCAACCATTTGAAAAGTAATTTTCAGAGACTCCATTTGAATTTTTATTTTTGAACATGACATATCTCTATTATATCCCATCTCTTGAAATTAAGCATTGTCTTTTGTTGGATTTGATAAATCTACTGATGTGTACGACCAATATCCATATAAAAATATGGAATATAAGTTTGATATGTTTATTGATGTTGTTTCTTGTATTGTGTGAGTATAGACAAATTATTAATGAATAACCAAAATACAAGCATGGTTGATTACCACAACGTACCCCAGTTCATAGAGAGAAAGCTAAAACTTCTAGGACTAAAAGTACAACGTGTGAAGTATGGCAATCATCATCTAGCACCACTAAGGGACCATCATCACATGGCCAGGGATCTCAATTTCATGGTAAACCCTGAGCTCGTGCATCTTCTCCTATATGTTCTCCTGCCACACCTGAGGGATTTTATAAAGGCCCATTAAACATGTTACTTCTTCAACTATATGAAAGCCATATTGCTGCTCATGTTTGGAACAAAAAGGTAAAAGAAATATTTACTTATGATTTTAAGGATCTAATTTATCATATTTATATTTACATTAATCATTTCACACTGAGACATTAATTTTTGTAGTTTCATAAATCACTATAGTGTATTAACCATGGTAGGAATATAATACAACTAGAGCATCCCTGATGAACCATTGTTTAATCAATTATTAATAGCATTCATACTGAAGGGTGTTTGTAGGTCTGATTTTTATATCATTGTGTGTATGTTTATTCTGCGTATATTCATTGGTTTGCTTATTACATTCTTTATTTTACTCATTCATCTCTAACATGATTATGATTGTTCATATTTGCATTTAAAGTCTTTTAAATGTGTGTTGTTAATTATGTGAATTCGAGTATTTTGTTCATGCATTATCTAATCTTCCATTTTTAGTAGTCTTGATCACTTAATTTTGTGTTGATATGTTGTTGCGTGTTTATTAAATGCAACATGTCTATCTTCGTGTTATGTATCTGATCTCTGATGTTGTATATCCTTATTAGATATTTAGCTCATGTGTTCATCTGTAATTTTTTTTGTAGCTGATTATTTGGTGTTTAGACTCATTGTCATCTATCTATTTTTGATCTTGTCAAAGATGGTGAAATTTCAATGTGAGTCTAGAATTGTTTTATGTGTTTTATGTTGTTGTTGTGTGTTTGAGATGTTTCAAGGGGAGCACAAGATTTTTTTTGCTTTGGCTCAAATTTGATTTAGTTCCAAGTGAAAGCTTTCCAAGCATTAAAAAGGGAAAGACTGAAGTTGCATGTCTCTAATAAATTAAGAGGGGAGAACCCCCAATATAATTTGTTGTTTGTCTCCTAAGATTTCTCTTCGTTTATTATTATTTATTGAGTCTCCTCTTCAATTGTACATATTTGGATTAAGTTTTGAATCCATTCATTTTAGCATGTATAATTTAAGTGTTTGAATTTGAGTATGATCATTGTGTTTTAAGTCAATTGGTTGAGTTAACGGAACAAAAATTATAATTGATATTGGTTCAAGTTATGTGGGAAGTGCAATCTAAGATTACTATGAAAAACTTAAAAAATTAAGTTTTCTTGTGTGTGACTCGAATCAATCAAAACCTTGGGCCATATGCCGTCTACTCCTAACCTTAATCCAAGGTCGCCCTTGCTTGTGGTGCATAGCGCCCCACGTTTAACTTGATTATTTAATTTTGCGGCATTTTTCGTTTCTTCTTATCCATGTATGCACAACTCCCTCAAAACATGATTCCTTGGTTTTATCTTAACTTTCTTTGGTTAGTGATGTTGGAGCACAAGGTTAAAGATGAAGATGGAAGAAGAGAGAAGAAAGAAGAGAGAAAACAATTATAACAAACTTTAAGAGAGAAAAATTCTATTGTGAAAAAATTTGTAAATTCATGTTATGAAAAACTAGTTACAAATTTGTTTAAATACACAAATTAAATTGCCACATAGGCCCAACTAACAAATCTAAAACAAAATAGACCCAATAAATTAAGTACAACTTCCGGAACAACTTCCTTAGAAGCTTCTTCTTCTTCTGAGTCAGAACATTGTTTCTAAATATGAATTACTTATAGCATCATCCATTAATTCACATTTAACTAACTAAACTCTACAACACCAATTTCATCCCTAAAATAGACAAAGTATTCAGTCTTGACAACTTTCGTCTGAACATCTGCAAGTTGCTTATGAGTGCTACAATGTACAACTTTTAGCACTCAATTCTGGACATGATTCCTTAGAAAGTGGAACTTCGTGTCAATATGATTGCTTCTCCCATGCAACAGTGGATTGTTGGCAAATCTTATGGAAGATTTATTGTCAATCATCAACTTCACATGCTTGCTCACCTTGATCTTCAGATCCTGCAACAAATTCATCAGCCAAATAACTTGACACGCAGATAAAGCACCTGTAATGTATTCAACTTCACAAGTTGACAAGACAACATCTGGTTTCTTCTTGGAGCATCAAGAAATGAGACTTCCCAAATACTTGAAGAAATATCCAGAAGTACTTCTTCTGTCAACTGTGCCTCCAAAAGGAAATAACACTTTGTACCTCAGAATCCTTTTAATGTACCGGAATATCCTGACAGTAGCTTGGTAATGTGATCACTTTGGTTTGTTCATAAATCTACTTACCACCCCATCTGCATAGAAAATGTCAATTACGGTGTTATAGGGATATCTCAATGAGCCAACCAACTGTTTAAAAGTTGTAGCATTTACATCATCACCCTCAACATCAAAATCCAACTTGTGATTTGGCTCAATAGTTGTGATTGTCGTCTTGCAATTTGTTAGCTCTCTCTTCAAAAGTTTAAGTTCATACTTCAGCTGATGAAAAATTATACCCTTCTCAGAGTACAAAATCTCCATCCCTAAAAAATACCATATTTCCCATATCAGTCATCTCAAACTCATTCATCAATAATTTCTTGAACTTGGGTATCTCATCTGAACAGTTTCCTATTAGCAATATGTCATCAACATAGAGACACACTAGAATCAAATTTCTTTCAGAAGTATGCTGAACATAAACACCATACTTCATCTCACATTTTCTGAACCCTTGCAGCTTGAAAAATGAATCAATCTTTAAATTCCAAGCTCTAGGAGATTGTTTCAGTCCATACAACGCTTTATGTAACATGTACACCGTTCCTTCCTGATTCTTGTTCACAAATCCATGAGTCTATAAAAGATATACATATTCTTGCAATGGACTGTTCAAAAATACAGATTTTATATCCAGATGCATGAGAGGCTAATTTCTATTAGCAGCTATAACAATCACCAATCTAATTATTTCATGCCTAGCTACAGGCACAAACACCTCAAAGTAATATAGTCCAGATTTATGTAAAAATCCCCTAGCTACTAACCTTGCTTTATGTTTTCCAATTGATCCACCTGGCTTTAAATTTATCTTAAAAACCCATCTTACGTTGATGGATTTCTTCTCCTTTGGGAGTTCAGTCAATTCCTAAGTCATGTTTCTTTTTATAGCCTCAAGTTCTTCTTTCATGGTGTTCAGCCACACTTTTTACTTGAGAGCTTATTTATTAATAACTAGTTCAAAGTCTACTAGAATTACAAACTGAATGGCTTCTCCTTCAGAGTCTATCTCAGTATCTTTCCACATGTCAAATCTTGTAAATCTTCTCGGTATTTGTCTGATTCTTTGTGGAATTTGAACTTGTTCAGAATCTCCTCATGATTTTGAAACGGTATCAGATGTTAGACCACCTTCAGAAGTTCTA